ATCATAACTATGTACTTACTTAATTTATTCAATGCCCAGGAGCAGAGAAGAAGTTTTCCAAAGAAATAATGCATTTTCACTATATAATCTATTTAGCCCCGCCCTAGCACTAGAGCCCCTGACCCCAGGGCCATGAATTTCACAATTTTGATAGAGGACTCAATGCTGATTACAATCATGCAAACAATTTGACTGCTTGATGTCCAGAAGTAAAGAAGAAGATTTTTAAAGATTGCATTAATTTTAGTGGTTTTGGCCCCACCCCTCAGGCCCCAGGGGGGCAGGGGCCATGAAATTCAAAATTGTTGTTCCCCTTTATCTATAGATGCTTTATACCAAATTTGGTTGAAATTGGTTCAGTGGTTCCTGAGAAGAAGCTAAAAATGTTCAAAAGTTTACGACCGACGTACGACGTACGACTGACGACGACGGACGAAAAGAGATAGCAATAGGTCACCTGAGTTTACTCAGGTGACCTAAAAAGGTGACATAATAATATATGTGCATTAACTTGCACGATTGGTTCAATAATACATAACCCTATATTATTCGAACTATTGTACGTACAACATTATTATATTTACTGTCATAATTACATCTGATCAGTTATAATAGATCAAACTGATTTAAGGTATTCAATGTGTAACGACCATATTTTGTACCTAATAAATAAATGATCCGATATTTTAAATCATGATAGCATTTTAAGATGTTTTTAAGATGGTATCAAATAAAAATGCTCCACCAAAGGAATTTATAAAAATTTTGGTTATTGTCCAATTAATTGCACCTTGAATTGTACATGTACATTGAAGTCTATGGGGCGCGCATGATTTTATCAGATATTGTAAAAAGTAATTTGAATTTCAAAACCTCTCTTCGTGAAAATATACAAAAACTCCCTGTTTATGAAAGTATGAAATAAAATAAATTATTTACGGCAGATATTTTAAGAAATCAAAATTGTTCTTCTTTTCATCAAGGGTAGATAACTATTCAAAAACTTTAAACGTGCAAAATTACTGTCTCCTTTTATGCTATCAGTCTTGTGAATTTGGTTCATTTCATTTTATCATTATCTAGCAATGCGTTTTAACTAGTTTAAAAATGTTTAAAATCGTTCAAAATCCGTTCATTATACATTGAATACCTTAATCAATCGTTAAAATTTAAGTGCAAAAAAAGTCAAATTAATTGTACTGTGCACAGTAAGATTCAAACTGACGTCTATTTTCTTTGCTATTTTGAATCATGCTATATGAAAGGACAAGATAGGGTAAGACCCCTTTTTGGCCCCCTGATTTTGGGTGTCTTTCAGAATGGTGCAACAGTTTATCCATAAAAACCTGTTGTAACCCCTGTCACAAATTGAGTATTGGTTTTTTAGGTTTAGGAATAAACAGAGGTCACAGAGAGGTCAGAAGAGATCAATATTCTAATTTTCTCATTTTTATGCATACATGTATTTTCATCGATTTTACAGCATATTTTGTTTCGGAAAATATACAGCAGAAGCTTGCCTATCTTCCAGATTTATATATTTTACAGTTATACACAAGTATCAGATGCAATTTATGTGCAACAATCTCAGATAGGCAAGCGTGTGCTCAATATTTTCAATAGAATATAAGAAGTGACCTGTGAGCCTTTCTTTTGTTTAAAAAAAGTCTTTTTAGGCCCATTTGAGCCCAAGATAGAAAAGACAAAATCGAAAACGTTATTGCATATCTACAGAACACCACTTAATCATATTACAAAAAAATTAATCTATTTGAATATGGTACAAAGTGCGAGAAAAAATTGCAAAATAAATCACAAATAGCAACACTTCAGTGTTAAATTACAATTTAATGACATCTGAAAATTATATCACAGGTATAGAAAAGAATATGTTTTACCAGTTGTGCATTGCTCCTATACGGGTTGCACAGGTGAAGCTTTGTCAAATATAAAAATTCCTAAGTTTTATTTTCAGGAAACTATTTCAGTCGAGGTAAGTAAACGTATATAATTTTATAAAATATGTAATAAAAATTATAATATCATACAATGTATAAACTAATCTTCAAAAATGAACAATAATAATATGATAAAAATTAAGATTTAAATCAACCCTGGCCGAATACAATTAAGCATTTTAAAAGTATATATTTCTTTAAAATCATTTGCCAGTTTTAAATGTACAAATATCACCAACAATTAAAATGAATCTGAATTGCAATAATTACGAGGAATGTTCAATAAATCATCAGCTCGATGACACACGACATAGAAATCATATGCCTTTAAGTTTGACACACTTTAATGAGTTGATCATATGTGAAATCATATGCCTTTAGACACTGCATTTAAAATGAATAGTCAAGAATCAGTTCTTCATTAAAACTGCTGTAAAACTTGAATCTATATTAATGAACCAATGTTTTTATACACACATGAGATAACACATGAGCATTATAACAACTTTCCTGTGAATTTGATTCATGTTATAAGCCAGATGATATGGCATTCACAATTTTGAAAGAGGCACCATTGATCATCATAACAATACACATAACAGTTGCTCAGTTTTGTTACTTAATACCCATTGGCAACGTAGGGGAACAAAAAATGCATTTCAACTAATCAGTAATATTCAGCAATAATCTGTAGTGCCCCTACCACACATAAACCCCTGACCCTTAAGCCTTGATATTTGATTAATACCAAGGAGCAGATTTCAAACCTTTCATTCATTTTCAGTATATAAGAACAGCCCCCCTCTACGGTACCCCTGACAATTCTGGAAGATTAGGGCCCTTGTCCATCATAACTATATAATCTGCTTAATACCCTGGAGCAGAGAAGAAAATTTTCAAAGAATTCATGTATTTTCACAATGTAATCAATAGAGCCCCGCCCTATCACCAGAACCCCTGACCCTGGGCCCATAAAATTCATAATTTTGGTAGAGGCACTCTTGCTCATCATAACTATGCACTTAGTTAGTTTATTTATTACCCAGGAGCAGAGAAGATGATTTTCAAAGAATTCATGTATTTTCACTATATATAATCAACAGAGCCCCACCCTTACACCAGAACCCCTGACCTTGGGGCCATAAATTTCATAATTTTGGTAGAGGCACTCTTGCTCATCATAACTATGCACTTAGTTAGTTTATTTAATACCCAGGAGCAGAGAAGAAGATTTTCAAAGAATTCATGTATTTTCAGTATATAATCAATAGAGCCCCGTCCTAACACCAGAACCCCTGACCCTGGGGCCATAAAATTCATAAGTTTGGTAGAGGCACTCTTGCTCATCATAACTATGTACTTAGTTAGTTTAATTAATACCCAGGAGCAGAGAAGAAAATTTTCAAAGAATTCATGTATTTTCACTATATAATCAATAGAGCCCCGCCCTAACACCAGAACCCCTGATAAAATTCACAATTTTGGTAGAGACACTCTTGCTCATCATAACTATGTACTTCGCTAGTTTATTCAATGCCCAAGAGCAGAGAAGAAGATTTTCAAAGAAATAATGCATTTTCACTACATAATCTATTCAGCCCCGCCCTAGCACTAGAAACCCTGACCCTGGGGTCATGAAGTTCAAAATTTTGGCAGAGGACTCAATGCTGATTACAATCAAGCAAACAGTTTGACTGCTTGATGTCTAGGAGTAAAGAAGAAGATTTTTAAAGATAGCATTAATTTTAGTGGTTTTGGCCCCACCCCTCAGGCCCCAGGGGGGTAGGGATCATGAAATTCACAATTTTTGTTCCCCTTCACCCATAAATGATTTGTGTCAAATTTGGTTGAAATTGGTTCAGTGGTTGCAGAGAAGAAGCTGAAAATGTTCAAATGTTAACGCACAACGCACAACCCACGACGCACGACTTCGGACGAAAACGGATAGCAATAGGTCACCTGAGTTTACTCAGGTGACCTAAAAATGATGTAACGGGCATCAAAAATGGGTACCGTCCTTGGCTACAAGGACATACAACAACCAATGTATATTTGCGAAAATTCAACAAATTATCACTGAGTATGTTTGATTGACTTTTAGTTCAACTGTTTTAAAGACACATTTGATAGTAAAAATGTTTAATACTCAAATATCACCCAATATTTTGAAAAATGAGTGAAAACGACAGCGTGTAGGAATATCTAATCAATTATTTAAAAAAAAAAATTAAAAAATGTACTTATCCATGTTCGTTTGAAATTCAAATAGATAATGAAACTTGAATCCATTTTGCTTTAAACCCTCAAAACAAATTTACAATGAGATACACTTGATTACAATGAGATACTCTTGACAAGAAAGCAAAGGGCTGAAAAGAGCAAAGCATTGGAAGAGCACAAAAACAGTTTTATATGCTATTATCTTAAATGTAAGTGGTCTTGTTGTTCACATTCTTATTCAGGAAGTAATTTCAATTTCTGGAAGAGTCTAGAAAGCAAAATGATTGCAACAAAATGAAGGGTTTATGAGAGGAAGGGTCCAGAATGTGGATTTCACTACATTAAATTTCTTCATGACAGCGTCCAAACCCACAGACTATGAAGAGTAAAGGAGTTCTGGGGATAAAAAGAAAGTTAATGTTTTGTCACACCAACAATATTGGCCAGCACTTTCAACATTTGACTTGTTTCATTTCCCAAACTTGGAGAAACACCTTTCAGAAAACAAGTACAGGAAATCATAGGATCTACCATATTCCAGTATACGTAGGGTCATACTCAAAAATGTGTTCTAAAAACAATTAGTAATTGAATAAAATTGTTGCGGACACGTGTTTTCATTTAAAGATAATATTTTAGTGTAATCATTAAGACTGAATCATAGAAAAGCGTTTTTTTTCTTTCAGAGCAGCGATGACATTATTTATAGAACGTCCCTCGTATTCTGGACAGCTAAACTTTATAAAAATCCTTACAAACAAAGATATATACATGATGTTCCAGGTAACTTCGTATTAGGGTAAAATAATATATTTGAGCTGTGTAAATCAGATGTGGACTGTTTTTATACAATCATAAATAGATCGACCATTACGATATAGAAGACTGAAAACAAAACTATATGAAGGAATATTAGATTGAATTGCAGAACTATCATATGTTCAATAAATGGCCTGACAAGTTGAACAGAAAGAATAGCATCTTTGACTCCAAGATTGTATGTTTTTTTTAGATGATGAAGCCCCGCCTAATTTTCTTTGTGCTACTTGTTTATAATGTGCAAGCAGAAAATGAGACCGGAAACTGTAAGGACATGTTACAGGGATACCTGACAGGTCAGTTGTCGTCTGCTTTAGGGGCATATCAAGTGGAGGCTTTAAAGCGGGAATTCAAAAGCTTCACTGAGACCATGGAACAATCTATGAAGAATTTCAAGAAAGAGATGGAAGCCAGTGTTGTCAGTGGAGGTATAAATCGCATATTTTATTGCTATTGATAATTAACACCATATACATAAAAAACAGTTCTAAATAGAAACAAGATGACAACAACGTCTTTTCAGAGCAAAATAAATATTATAATTAAAATTATCATTTTTCACTTTGTAGATAAACATAATCGGAGTGCTGTTTATACAAGATGGGGGAAGAAAACGTGTCCCTCCAACGCAGAAATAGTTTATTCGGGTTAATCATGATTAAAAAAATTATACCCTTTAAGTTAGATAAACAGTATCTGTTTCGGTTGTAAGGGTTGTAAAGAATTTATTTTACGTAGAAGTGTTGCAGGCGAATTGTGCAGCAACCGTTACACCTATTTGCAAAAGATCTTTCAAAAGCAGACGTGGGCAGATCTAGGAATGGAATCACTCAGTATCAATCAAATTCAATCGTTTACTCGTTTTAAATTGCATTTTCAATCCAGAAATCATCTTAATACTTTTTTGCTTTGTTTGAACACTCAGTGCATTTTAAGATAAACCCAGGCAACTACAACGTACAATATGACGTGCAGTCATAAATAGAATTTGATAACAGCAATGACTATGAGACAAAGCATTTCTAATTTGTTTCCTGAATTGCTCCAAAAATCGAATATCACACCTTTCAATTAATTCCTTACAACCGAAACAAATTAACTATATGCATATTTTTTTTTCTTTCATGTATGCAATTTATAGATGGGTAAGTGGGCAAAATTGTTGAATAGTTCGAGGGCTGTTCAATAAATAATGTCCTCGGTGCTCGGAAAGAAGCAAAAGACGCTTTTCAATGATTTCTAAATGATTTAACTTAATATTCTCTTTTAATTAAAACACATTTTTTATCCAATTTCGGATTATTTTTAGAACTCATTTTCGGGTATGACCCTTAGTTTACTGGAAAATTGCAAATCCTATGATTTCCTGGAATTGTTTCTTCCTTCTGAAAGGCGTTTTTTCCAAGTTTGGAAAATGAAACAAGTCAAAAGGCGAAAGATCTGGCGAATGTTGTTAATGTGAAAGAACATTAACTTTCTGTTTATCCGCAAAACTCCTTTACTCTTCAGGGCGTGCGGGTTTGGACGCTGTCATGAAGAAATTGAATGTAGTAGATTCCTGATTCTGGTTCCCTCCTATCATTAACCTTTTGATTTTTTTAAAAAAATTGCTTTCTAGATTCCTCCAAAAATTAAAATAAGCCTCCTGAATACGAATTTGAACAACAAGATCACTACTATTTAAGAAAATTGCATATAAATATGTCTTTGTGCTCATGCAATTCTTTGCTCTTCTCAGACCTTTTCTGTTTTTATAAAGTACATCTTATTTTAAATTTTTTTTGAGGGGTTTAAGCAATAGATTCAAGTTTCATTATCTGTTTGAATTTCAAACAAACGTGGTTTACTACAATTACTGATATTTTTAAATAATTGTTTAGATATTCTTACACGAAGTCGTTTTCACTCATTTTTTAAAACATAGGGTGACTTTTGACTACTAAGCTTTTTTACTGTTAAACGTTTCTTTATAACAGTGTGAACTACTCGCGAAATGATGTCTCTTAAATTTGCTATGTGTATTATAGTCAATCATACATCATCAGTAATTATTTGTTGAAATTTGGCAAACTGTACATTAGTTGTTATAATTTTTTGTTTGCAAGGAGGGTACCCATTTTTGATGCCCATTATATAATTTTTATCATTGAAATGCACCTGCTCAATTGTCTATAAAACAGATATTGATTGCTGTAAATTTTACATATTCAGTGAATATTTCTTTGGGGTTCTTAACAAGTTTTACAGCAGCTTTAATGAAGCGTTTAATTTCACTCTAGTTTACCGATTCTTTACCATTCATTTTCAATGCAGTGTCTCGAATAGCCCTTGTTTTCCAGCTTCTCACAATGAAATTATGTGATGAAAAGTCGTCACATAATTTGTTATAAGTTCATTAAAGATTCAACAATGACAGAAAGTCAAGATTAATGCCATATGATATCTGTACTGTGTGTCATAAAGTTCAGGACATTATTTATGGAACAGCCCTCGTACATTGGAAGTTATTGTACACTTAAGCTCATGCTTAGAAGTTATAATTCGTTTGGATTATGCTTGTTTCTCTCTGATTTATAGTATTTAAAATATATCAAGGGGGAATTACCATATCATGATACTTGTTAAGTATATTATTAATAATCAAAAGTAAAGCAAAATGTCAAAGTTTAAACAACAGTGAAAAAGTTCGAAATAACGTATTTTTAAAAAAATATTTCATTGTACAATGCTAAACAATGCTCATTTACAATGGCCAGTTAACTGTGGTATAAAGGATAAATTGCTGTATAAATTAATATAAAAGCAAAACATAAGCCTTTTATTACTTTTTTTCGAAATATAATTGTGACCTTAAACATGTATGTTTTTAAGGATTTCAACATGAAATCAAAATCTTTTCTATATAATGAACCTTTGATAAATTTTTCTTACATGGACTTCTCTTGTATAGTATTTTCTATTCTATATTATGTATTTTGAAGTAAAGAAAACGTTAGTTAACAATTTGAAACTATGTTTCAAAATAGTAAGCAATATTTTACTGCAGTTTGTGTTTTGTAGGGAAATAGGCTTTTCATTATGAAAACATTTTTTATAGATTTTTTTTTATTTTATTCTTAAAATTTTTAAAATAGTAATTTTCCGCGGAAATATGCATGTATAAATACATATAGTGACAGTCTAGGATATCCGCGCTACATAGAATATTCTTTCCCCGTGGAAAAAAGTACGCTTACAGTAGTAATGAATATGCATGTATTACATGCTACATAGAATATTCTTTCTAAGGTTTTGAATTATCACTGAATCTTTTAAACAATATTATGCAATTCAAAGAATAAATAAATGTATATTACTAGGTTTAGCAGGCGGATCATGGTACGGTCACAGTGGTGCAGCCGTAGATCCACTGTGTTTACCGAGAGATCCAGAGTGGGGGATCTACAGGGATGGAACTGATGGGGAAAAGGCTTATGTGTTTGGAGCAGAATACGAAACATCGGACGTTAGTCATTCGGCTTCACTTCAAAACCATGATGTTCCTTGTGCTGTTTGCCTAGTGAGAAATAGAACTGTAGTGAAAGTATTTCCAGGTAAAAATTCTAATTTCTAAGAATGGTCGATTAAAATATTATTGTGTTTGAACTTTGAAATTATTAAGCAAGAAATGATCGATTAAGTTATAAGTTTAAAGGTTATATATCAGAGAGATGGAATTTGAATTTTGATTATGAATCATTATTCATTGCTTTTATACAAAAAAATGACTATGGAGTGTACAGGAACCTGATCAATACTACAAGCATCATCAATTAACAGTAGAGTACTTACTGTTATTTACTGTTGTTTATAACGGTCATTTGGATCTCTTTTTTCTCTTATCTGATTTGTTTTATTGAATATGCTTATATGATTAACCATTTGTAAATCGATACATGGACAAATGGCTTCATGTATACGATTTTCGTATATTTTGCTTTGTCCAAAAACGATAGATGCTGAGGTTCCATAGGTATTATCATGCATAAAAAGGCTTTTGTTGATCATTTAAAATTTGAAATACTAGTATAGTGGAAATAACGTGTGAATTGACCTTAACCATGTGTCTGTGATAAAATATAAACATCTAATAGACCAGCATGTTTTGTCATCCAGTCATCGGATTGGACAATTGTTCTCTGTAAGCGACTATGTGCTATATAATAACAATAGCCATATAAGGTAGATTCCTCGGACACGCATATTTCTCTATTGTACTTAGATCCACCTATTCTCTATTTAGTGAAAGAATGTGTCACAAACCAAGTCGAATTTTCCTGTCATAGGGTCTAAAAATATCATAGATAATGAAGTAATCCTTCTGATTAAACTGTGTCAGAAATATTGAAACTATTCAAAAGGCGACGTTTTTATTCATGTTTGAAAACTGTCAAAATCTTTGTAGAATAAATATAACTCGTCAAGGAAAAAAGGCCCAAGATAGCAGTTATGTGGCATCATCCTTACATGTTGCTAGACATAGACGTAGTCATAATCAGAAGACACAAATCATACAATAAGTTGTCAATCTTTCTTTAAACACTTGGTTTAAAGTCAGCAAGCAAATTCTATGGTCGTTATAATGATCTTGTTAACCAATACTAATTAATAAAACATATCATTGGGCCGTATACTAGTATTTGACCTTTGCTTTTATAATTAATTAAGTACGAAATATTCTGTCTCCCTGATCAATACATGCGGCTTACGGCGGCTATGAACAGTCGACACTTACTCCTCCTGAAAACCAAAATCCACCTCTGGAATTTCCAAGGGTTCTTGTTTTAAGCACTGCACATAGATTTGTTTTGTTTGTGGATTTTATTTATGATGATCAATCATTCTTTGAATTCTTCTCTATTTTCATAATATGACTCATATATTTTTATGACATATATAACAGAAACATTATTTTTCTTTTAAAGAATTTTTGGTTTATGTTGACATTCAATGAACATTTGTTGTTTGAGTTATGTAGGTAGGTGAATGTAACGTTGAAGTTTAATTAATAAAGAAACCTTTAAATAAAGGTTCATGTTTGAAAAAAAGTTTTTTTTTTTTAAAAATGCATTGCAGTCCTTATCATTCCAAAATTAAATGCACAGTCAGCATTTTTTTTTTTTAGCAAAAAGAACATGTTACAAAGGGTGGAGTTTGGAATACGAGGGTTATCTTATGGCTGGACGTTATGATCACACCGCTGCAACTACATATAAGTGTGTAGACAAGAATCCAGACACCTTACACGGCGGTCATCTTGACAAAAATGGCTACCTTTTTTATCATGTCGAAGCTCGGTGTGGCTCACTGAAATGTCCACCGTACGTAGAGGGAAGAGAACTGGTTTGTGCTGTATGTTCCAAAGAGTGATAATGTAATAAACTGTTTTTAAAGATGTATTATGTTTCATTTTTTGCGTTTTATTTATGAAAGTGTTCATCTGAAAGTTCAAATGGGAGTATGTTGAAGACATGTTTAAAGACAAAGGGACAAAAAATACAAGTGGTTAATTAAAAGTGATATCTTGTTTAAACACATTTTTTCGTAAGGATGAATCTACATACATCTACAATGGTAGTTAGGTAGTGTCCTTATAGAGAAGATATGGGTGAAAAAAGGCTTATTAAATTCCAATATTATTTTTTTTTACTAGTAGCCATTAGTCAACATGCACGTCAATATTACGTTCCACGGATTGGTGCATATCTGACCACGAAATACTCAGTATAACAGAGGATTTAACACAAAAATAATTCAATCAAATTTAACGATACACGCATATTTATACCCCCCGCTTGAAAAGTGGGAGGGTATATAGTAATCGGGATTTCCGTCCGTCCGTCTGTATGTCCGTCCGTCCGTCTGTTACGCTTTTTCTCTTATCCGCAACTCCTCTTATACTACTGAGTGAAATTTAATGAAACTTTCACAGAATCTTTATTACATATTGCCATTGTGCACCTCCTATTTTACTTTTTTATTCGACACGTATTTTAAGTTTTCCATAGCAAAAAATATGGACATTGCCATTATATGTTTACCTATGAATTTACATATAGAAGCTTCTAGATAACATTTGATAGACGAGTTATTCCTCTTTACACATTACCGTAAAACAATATATAGCAAATTATGGACATTATGGGAGGCGGGGGGTATTATTTAGTGAGCTCATTGTTCACAGTACCTCTAGTTAAAGTATTTGTTTATAATTGAAGTAAAATCTGGTGTACAAACTCGTGTCTTCACCGGGTCATACCCCTTCAATTTCTGATTGTTCAATAATATTGATATATTAATAGATACTAGTTTAGCTAAATATTTTTGGCCAATATTTTTTTAAAATAAATGTGTTAATTGTGGTTATTTAAAAATTGATAAACGTGATTTTTCTCAGACTTCTTCATAATTATATTCTGCTTTTGTTTAAAAGAAGCGATAACTTATTATTGTAAGATATAATTCTGTAATATTAATTTTTAGATGATATAATATTTTGATGATTTTCATCTATATAAATCTTTACAAAAATCTCTTTGGCATAGAATTAACCACTAGATACACAAATACCATCGCACAACAGTACAAATTTTTGCGTGTTGATACAGACTCATGTGATTGGTAACCATAACTCGGAGAAGTCACTTTTGCTGTAATTTGTTTTTGAAATGCTCACAAAGTCATAGATAAACAAAATTTATTACGGGGGTTGGGGGTGGGGGTGGAGGTATTTCTTTTAGTGGAAGGATAAATAGAAGAAAATTAATTAAATCTGAACATTATAGTCACATTTAATTTCTTGGAAATTTAGCCCCAAATATTTTTACTCAGACAACATTTTTCGTTATTATATTCTAGGAACATTGCATTGGTTACACAGTCCCCCCTGAAAATCGCATATTTTCACCAATATCTCAAAATTTACATCACTTACACAAACTGTACTTCCAATCGATCAGCACGAATATAATAAAAGGTTTGATACAAGAAAAAAAAAACTATTTTATTACCTATTTAGATTTTTAATACACCAAATATGATACTTTCAATGCAAGAAGGTAACACGATTATAGGTATGCGCGTTAATTTGCATGATTAATTCAAGAAAACATATTATTCAAACTATTGTATGTACAATATTATTATATTTACTGTCATTATTACATCTGATGAAAATGTAATAAAGATTAAAGTGATTAAACCAAGTGTTACAATTTAACTGCAAAATGTCAAATTAATTGGACTGTGTACAGTAGAATTCAAATTGACCCCAATTTTCCTTGCTATTTTGAATCAAGCTATATGAATGCTTATCTGAAATAAAGTTCTCTAAAAATCACTGATATCCTCCTATACACCTGGGTATTAAGCAAACAACCTAAATGCATAGTAATAATGAGCAAGGCTACTTCTTCTAAAATTGTAAATTTCATGGCCCTCGTGCCAATGATTTTGTAGTTAGGGCAGGCCTCAAATTATCTTGCAAAAGATGAAATGGCTATTGCATAGAATGAATGAAGAGATCTGGGAGTCATATATTTGTTGTAAAATGAAAAATGTTTTGAGTGTTGTTTTCCGACCCCCCCCCCCTTTCCCATTTGAACCCGAGGTTAAAATGAAAATTCTGAAATCGTAATGCATATCTACAGGACACATGCAATCATTTTCGAAAAGTTGATCTGTCTACTGTGTAAAATGTTAAAAGTGACCTGGAAAGTTATTTTTGTAAGAAAAAAAGTCTTTTTACGCCCATTTGTCCCCCAAAATAGAAAAAAAAAGATCGGATACGTTATTGTACATCTACAGAACACCAACTTATCATATTTTAACAGATTGATCGATCTTAATATGTTACAAAGTGCGTGAAAAAAATGTTGCAAAATAAATCACGAGATCCAACTTTTCGGTGTTAGATTACAATTTAATGACATCTGAAAGTTATATCACAAGGATAGAAAAGAATATGTTTTACCATTCGCGCATTGTTCCTATATATTTGCACAGGTGAAGCCTTGTCAAATATAAAAATTCTATAGTTTTAGTTTTCAGGAAACAATTTCAGTAGAGGTAAGTAAACTTGCATAATTTCATGAAATATGTAATAATAAATCTTATCTCATAAAATGTATAAACTAATCTTTAAAAATGAACAATAATAATATGGTAAAAACTTATCTGCATGCAATGTAAATAACCTATGATTGAACGAAAGACATATTCATGAACTTTCATTGTATTGGTGTTTAAAGATTTACAAAGAAAGACTAGTTAAGATTTATATAAATCCTGGTCGCATAAATATCAGCATTTTAAAACTGTATATTTCTTTAAATCAATTGTCAGTTTTTAATATTTCGATCCAACAATGAAAATGATTCTGAATTGCAATATCTATACTGGAGAGCTAAACTTCATAAAATCCTTACAAACATAGATATATAAAGCAGGTTTTAGGAAACTGAAACTGAAGTGCAGAAATATATTCGAGAAGGGTAGTAAATCAGATGTGGACTGTTTTTTCACAACCATAAATAAATCGACTTCTCCGACAAAGAAGACTGAAAACATAACCATATGATAGAATATCAGATTGCTTTAAAGAAATAACATGTATTCAATAAATGGTCTGATAAGCTGAACAGAAAAAAACAGCATTTTTGAATCCGATTTTGTATAGGTTTTTTTCAGATGATGAAGAAGCCATCTCTGATTTTCTTTGTGTTACTTGTTAATGTACAGGGTGAAAATGAGACCGGAAACTGTAAGGACATGTTACAGGGATACCTGACAGGACAGTTGTCGTCTGCTTTAGGGGTCTATCAAGTGGAGGCTTTAAGGCGGGAATTCAAAAGCTTCACTGAGACCATGGAACAATCTTTGAAGAATTTCAAGAAAGAGATGAAAGCCAGTGTTGTTAGTGGAGGTATAAATGGAAATTCTTACTACAATTGCTTCTTTAACATCGTGTACATAAGAATTATAGATCTTTAGAAACAAAAAGATCAGAAGATCATAAAAACTTATTTTCAAGAAACATTAACATAAAATGAATATTTTCAACCTGCAGATCGAGATAATAGAAGTACTGTTTACATAAGATGGGGGAAGAAAACGTGTCCATCCAATGCAGATCTAGTTTATTCGGGTAAATCCTTGTTACATTTTTATGGTAAAAAGCTTTATTTAGGTCAAATTAGAATATTTGGTTTGTAAAAATAAATGCTGTACAGAGAGGTACGTAGGAGTATATCTCCTTGTGTGTAACTCAATGTACACAACATAATAAAAAATGTTAAAAATAAAAAAAATCAAGAAAATTCAGCGTAGAAATATGAGAAAGCAAAATCAACTCACCAGTGATGTATGCAGAGTTTAGGTAATTGAACACATTCGATGAAACGTAAATGTTTTTGTAAACAGAGCACGAGCTGTATTATTGTTAATGTTTACGTTTCACCATTGTTTTATTTTTATAAAAGTTTTTCAAGAAATTTATTAATATTTTATCTTGAAAACTTTAGATAATTATAAAAACAGTGGATGAGCATGCATTGCATGTAAATATTCTTTTTAATTTGATAAGCTAACATTGAAACTTCTAAAATAATTTTGAAATTGATAAGATAAATGAATGAACATATTGTTTTAGGATTTGCAGGAGGGTCACATCAAGATCACACTGGAGCAGCTGTAGATCCACTGTGTTTACCGAGGGATCCAGAGTGGGGATCTACAGGGATGGTACTGATGGAGATAAGGGTTATGTGTTTGGAGCAGAATACCAAACATCGGACGTTAGTCATTCGGCTTCACTTCATGACCATGATGTTCCATGTGCTGTTTGTTTAGTGCGAAATAGATCTGTAGTGAAAGTGTTTCCAGGTACTGGTAAAAATTCTAAATTCTAAGATGGATCGATTTAAAAATCATTGTGTTATTTCGCAATCATTAAGCAAGAAATGATTACGTAATGAATTTAAGTAAAAGTTGAATAACAGAGGGATGAACTTTGATTTTTTAAATTTTTTAAAATTAAATTGAATCATGGGTTACCCCGTATACTGATCAATTAAGGATATGGAGATAACGACGAGTATTCAATATCAAAGTCCATAAAACAATACAAAATAAGAGCAGAGCAAACACGGACCCCCGAAACATCAGAGGTGAGATCAGGTGCCATGGAGGAGTGAGCATCCCCTGCTGACCGGTCACACCCGCCGTGTGCTCCTTGTCGTGATCGGGAAAGAACGGAAAAATCAGTCGTCAATTTAGTGGTAAATAATGGACTAACAATAAGTATGAAAAACGTCAGTCAGCATTTGACTCAATGATAAATTGCATTTGCTGACAAGGTCATTGTATCGACCATAAAACTTACAAAATGATGACTTTAACCGAGACTGCTGATATTCTTGTTTCATCGACTCGTTTGTCAATAATTTACCTCGTTTAAGAAATTGTTCATACGTAGAGCATGCTCTTGCGTATTGAATCAATTGAGATATGTAAACTCCGTATGCAGATGATGAATGTACATTGCTGCATAAGTAAGGGAAGTTGACGACAGAAAAAGTTCAAGACATCACGTTTATCATAGAGCTTGGTTGTTAGATTTCCATTAACGTCTTTTCAAGTAAAATATCCAAGTGTGAAACATGTTCATTGTTAGTCCATGATTATTTATACACTGATTTGAGGACGGATTTTCCCATTATTTCCCGATATTGACAAGGAGCACACGGCGGGTGTGACCAGTCGGCAGGGGATGAAGGTCCGTGTTTGCGCTGCTCCTATTTTTGCATTGTTTTATGGACTTTGATCTTGAATACTGTTCGTTATCTCCATATCCTTCTTTACTTATTCTTTAAATTCAATCACCAGTGAGTACACGACTAATTAATTATGTATTCACTGGTAATTGAAATTGTGTGAATTAGTGAAAGACAATAGCATGTACCCGTAGATGAATCACGCAGGTATAAGAAGGACATAATAAGCGTTACACAGAAATGATGTTTAAAGAAAGATACCGGTATTTTTATATGCATTCCTGTCCTAATTAATTTGAGAGAATAAATCAATGCATAACTTTGTTTTAGCAAGAAGAACATGTTACAAAGGTTGGAGTTTGGAATACGAGGGTTATCTCATGTCTGGATATTATAAACATGCTGCTGCAACCACATATAAGTGTGTAGACAAAAACCCTGACACCTTACATGGTGGCCATCCTAACAAAGATGGCTACCTTTTTTATCATGTTGAAGCTCGATGTGGCTCCTTGAAATGTCCTCCGTACGTAGAAGGAAGAGAACTCGTGTGTGCTGTTTGTTCTAAAGAGTGATCCATAAAAACTTTCAGATATGTTTAATCATTATTTATTTGAAATGAACACTCTTTCAACACTTATTGCAATCCAAGTATATACATGTATCTATGAACGTAACGTAAATGATCTATATATACTGCAAATAAATTCTTCGTTGGTAGTTGGGAAAATTTTAAATAATTCTGCTTATGGAAGTTTTTCTTCTGAAAGTTCAAAGAGAAGAAAGGCACGCAAGACCAAGAGACATAAAGGGGGCGTTCAAGAGTAACGGTTGCATCTCCTTGAAAAATCTTTCTTATGTCAATGTGAATCTATAAATGCAATGCTGTTTGGGTTTTTTTGATAAAGATTTGTTTTCCTGAAAAATCCAAAAAGTTTAAAAGATGTAGTATTTTGTACCAAATGAGTCATCTAGTTATATTTCAAGTTACTTCAAAATAATCGAAACAAAATGTAGGAAATAAAATTCCATGTGATACATCAATTAAATTATCACTTTTGAAGTGCACACAGATACGTTCCAAGAGCCAATCAAATGCACTCTCGTTCTTTCTTTGCTAAACAGTTACTTTGTTAAGAGACATGGGAGTTTTTCAACGTGATATATATCTGTCATCTTTGTGGACAATGTCCATAACTTCTCCCGAAAATCTAATGGAATTACGATAGGAACTTATTGTGCTCCTCCATAAGCGAACCTGTTTTAATTTTTTTTATATAAAGCAAAATTTATTTTTAATCTACATCAGAAGGAAACGATTGCTTAGAGCTTCAATTCAATATATCAATATACTGACGATTAACAATGCTTATTTTCATTCGTAAATTAACTTGGTGCATCCAAGTGAAATAAAAAAAAGACCAATACAGTCAGCCACATATGTTGCATACTGTCATTTTGATCAGATTTTCACATTAATGACCACCTAAACTGATAATATATAACAAATATCTGGCTTGTCCATTGTTAGCTTTCCATATGCTAGTACATTTATGTGGTAATGCCCAAATATTACCAGCATAAAGTGATTAGGTTTCCATATGGATTTTTTATGCAAAAGCATGTTTTGAGTACAATTATTTTTGAAAGAGGGCAAGCAGCTGAAAAATTAGTTGATTTTTGAGGGTGTTCAACTTTTTAAAATCAAGTCAGCACTTTGAAAATCTTAAGGTGTAATAGTGACCTCATTTGGATATACAACCTCTCATTGGGATATTTTACCCGACATGTCAAATTACTAGGCCATTGTTCCTGTACAAATTTTATAACAGATTACCCAGTTATCTTGATTAATAATACAGAGGCCGGGACTCATGATAGGCATGCTAAATCAACAGGGAATGCTCAGTCATTTCCCCATGGCACCTGATCCACCTTAGATTGATTGATTGATTGTATATTGTTTAACGTCCCTCTGGAGAATTTTTCACTCATATGGAGACGTCACCGTATGCCGGTGAAGGGCTTTAAATTTAGACCTATACTGGGCACTCAGGGCCATTGAGCAGTGAGGGTTCTTTATCGTGCCAACACCTACCGTGACACGGGACCTACGTTTTTAAGGTTATATCCGAAAGACCCGTGACTTTCACTTCTAATGCCGAGCGCTTGGCGAAGGAACATTCATTACCTATGTTTACGTCTTAGGTTTGACGCGGCGTCGCAAACGAGAATCGAACCCGGGCCTCCCGATCACGAAGCGAACGCTCTACCACTAGGCTACCGTGATCCACCTTAGATGTACACCCAGGGGTCTGTGTTTTTGCCCTGTTGAAGATTTTTCTTATTTATTGGATTTTTATTATAAGATTGTGGTCAATATTTTGATATTTTCAGTAGTGGTAGTTTTACGAGATATGGCAGCCTTTATACAGAAAGAGAATAGGATGGAAGAACGATATGGAGATAACGTACAGCATTCAATCTCCAAGTCCATAAAACAATACAAAATAAGAGCAGAGCAAACATGGACCCCCGAAACATCAGAGGTGGGATCAGGTGCCATGGAGGAGTGAGCATCCCCTGCCCACTGGTCACATCCACTGTGTGCTCCTTGTCATGATCAGGAAATAACGGAAAAAAATCTGTTGTCAATTCAATTCAGTGTATAAATAATGGACTAACAATTGGTATGAAAAAAGTCGGTCAGCATTTGACTCAATGATAAATTGTATTTGCTGACAAGGTCATTGTATCGACCATAGAACTTACTGTGTATCAAATCAACTGAGATATATATACTCTGTATGCAGGTGATGAAGGTATATTGCTGCATAAGTAAGGGAAGTTGATGATAGAAAAGTTAAAGTCATCAAGTTTATCATATAGCTTGGTTGTTAGTTTACCATTAGTGTCTTTTTCAAGTATAATATCCAAGTATGAAACAGAACTGTCAGACTCTGTGGTATCTTTTATCTCAAGCTCACCAGGATATATCGAATCCACGTAGGAATGGAAATTACCCATTATTAATTGACAATATGTCGTCGATATATCTAAATGTCGAGTTGAAGGCCACAGCAAGTGTTTTCCTCTTAATTAAATAATCATACTGTTGTAGTAAAAATGGTTTATTTACTCTGCTCATGTTTCTTGAAAATCTTGATTGTTGCATGTAACATAAAAGACTAAGATTTACCCTTAAAATACTTTTTATTTCGTGGAGAGAAAGTGATAAATGGCATGCATATATTTTATGATTATTCAGTTATTTTGTGCACATAAAATGTTTGACTAGTATACTGAGGAAATCTCTATGAAACACATGTACATGTATTTCAATAATAATATATAATTGAAAATGGATAATAGATTACCTTTCCAGAGTAGGATTATGCAAGTATTTGGAAATCTTTATTTTCATAAAAAATAATTTACTGTAGAAGTATGGCATTTCTGGGGAAGTTCACATGCAGTACCCTCTGAAAAGACCCCTAAAAACTATCCCATTTACTGAGCAAATATCTGCAATTATACATGTAGCATTGATCAAGATTTCACAGCTGATTTTTCAATGAAGAAAGGAAAACACAACATTTAATTTAATTCATTTAGATTAAAAGCATAAAGGGAGAGAAATAAATTTATCATATTTTTGTTTACAACTTAATTGCATAATCCAACCCATTCAGTTTACATGATTAAAGTCCCTGACATAAAATTTAAAAAAATTATCATGCAATATGATTTTTTAAAATTAAAACTAAATATAACATTAGAATTATCAGAGTAACAGAAAATTAACAGAAACTAAAGAATTAAAATATCTAAAATTCACTGGGGAACAATTTTTTCAATATAACATTAATGAATAATCAGTTACAAGTCAGATAATTTTTTTTCTTTTTCAAAAAACACTAAGTTTTAAGAATATGAAATCTTTGATTAGACCATTAACCCTTTCTCTACCGGCACATTTCACGTGATTTTGGAGACTTTCTAAATTAAAAACAGACAGCTGTATTCATATTGTTTGGCACACAGGGAAATAAAAAATAAATACAATATCATCATTAACGAGCATAAACATTTCCAAGTTATAAATATATACTGAAGAAAAAAATGGTTTACCCTACCATAATACTATATATAATATGTAATAAGGATACATGTTTATAATACTTTGTTATAAATATTGCACTATTTATGGATTTCATGCAAAAAAATACTTCCATCTGAATTTTTCTATATACATTTTCAGGCACCAATCTAACCATTATCTTAAATTTATGATTTTTATTATTTTTAACTGAGATACATGTAAAAACATCAAAAGAGTATTACACATGTAAGAACATTCCAACATTCTGGAGATACAATGGAGATGGAGAAATTATTTTTAGCAATGTTTTCGAAGAATGCCAATAAATACATGAAAATTTCGATTGTTACACTATTACATATTTCTGTTGGAGAATTCTCTGTTTGGCTGAGTTCACAAAACTATAGACACCACAGATCCTTCAACAAAAGCTTCACATAGAGAAAACAGATAGAGGATATGTTCTCTATCAAATATCAGCAAATCTGGATAACCTTAGGTCATCAACATGACTTATTTACTTCAGTATGGTGCTTGACAAATGCTATTGCTGAGAGCTCTTTACAAAACTCTTCCATGACTATGATGGCCTCTAATTGGTTTTGGTCTTCATATCTGTTTACAAGATTTGAAAATACATATGAATATTTAAATATTGAAAAATGCAAATAAATATGAATAAACAAATAATATGAATTTATAGAATAGCTAAAGATCATAAAAGAAAGAAAGAATAAAAAATAAAGACTAAGGAGAAAGAACAATTAACCAATCCCAATAAAATGAATGCTACATAATTGCAATCTACATTCAGAAATAAGTATAAATACATTCTTTAAATCTCAAAAAACTGTCCCATTTAAGAATACAAACATATAAAATAAAACTTTATACCAAATGACAATTCTATTTTCCAACATGCTTGCAATACAACTGTACTACTTATACATTGTACCAACATGCAATGATATCTCAAATATTTTGTGCAAATATGGTTTAAAGTCTGCAGATATATATTCTGTAATTTCTTTTCTGATGATGAATATGGTTTCTGTGAAATGTGTTAAAATTGAAAAATTCTCATAATATATAATTGTTGTTTGACTTTTATATGCAAGAAAATTGATCAATACACTGTATAAAATCTATAAGCCAAATTGTAGCCAGAGCCTGGTTATGATGTCTTTACATTAAAATTACAGAACATATATTACATATACATGAACAGTGCAATGTGATAATGTGTATGTCTGTATCCTTCCTGCTTTTTATTTTTTATTTATTCTTTATTCTAATAATAAACTTGATGTCTTTCTTTCCTATGTCCATCATACAATATTTGGTTCTTTAAGAAAAAAAAAACAGAATTACACTATGCTCAAACTTTTCCCCCACTTTACACAAAACTGATCAGATATTTGGAATGTAGATGCATGAGAAAGAGTTACAGACCGATTTCAATCCCAGTTCATCATACCTTGAATTTCCTAAATTACTTTTACATCATCTCCACTGCTATACTTATTACTTTATTTCCACAATTCCATTTTTATGTAACTTAGGAGTCTTTTTCCATGAAAAAAAAGTTTTTAATTGACTGTACCTCTTTCATTAGTGTAGAAAAGCAGTGAGAAGTAGTTACGGCAAAGCAGATGGGTTTGCAACTTGCAAATATAAAATTGTTGATAAGCAACAATCTTATTTTCTCATATTCAAAGAGTTTCAAAAGAAATCGATGGTAATATTTCTAATGAGTTTTTTTTAAAAGATCATGTAATTCATTTCTAAAAACTAAAAAGTTCTAGAGAATTTCATCCATTGATATTTTGTCTCTACCAAAACCCTGAGGTCCAAGACCAGAATAATCAGCTTTGGGGAAGTAAAATTGTTTTCATTAACTGGCAGGTCCTACAGCCTAATGATACAAAAAACATTTTATTGAGAATTGTTTAAATTTTTTTTAAACGTAACACCAGTCAGCAGGACACACATTTTCTGCATGAACTTATACACACTTTTTATTTGTTTAAGTATTCATAAGCCTGACTTGTTGAAGTGCGAGGTGCTTTTCCCCTATACCCAGCAGGGCAGTGACAGGCAACAACAAATATTAATGAACTTACCCATCATGAAGTTTTGTTACAATACGCAGTCTAAAGATAAGTCATATAGCATACAAATATATAATTCAGTTAGCTTCTACTTTATAATAAAATGTAAAGACAGCTCTGCAATCTTTGTTAGGTTGAGGATATATAGATGTAGCTGTATCATAAGATGTTACAAATGAATATAATATGATTGCATGAAATACTAATACATGCATATATACATATAACTGTCAAAGTGCTCATGCATATAGATCTGACTATGATTAAAAGTAAAAGACCTGAACTGAAATCTTTCATGTTTCCTGAATGGTCTTGTTCTTTAAGTCAAGAAAATCACATACAATTATTACATGCTTTAGGTTATATACATATACATGGAGCATTCCTTAAATATAAATCAGAAAACAGTGACATTCCAAGTCATCCAAAATGCACTTCCTCTTTGTAGACATGCCTAGATCCAAATGCACACAGAACCCCCCCTCCCCTCCCCCTGTAATTTTAAAAGGATCAAATTTTGAAGAAATTTAAGTAATATTTCAATCTAAAAAAATTTCCAAAATGACATCCAGATTTAGTTTAGAATGTAAGCATGAATACACTGTCAAATCTGGTACTCTTTCGTCTAACAAGCATGTCATATTTCAAGGTAAGATCTCTTTTGCACTTTTTTTCAAAATAAATTTTTTGAAGTTTACAACAGATTATTCACTTCTATCTTAATCTGGGAAAAAACTGGGATCCGGGGCTGTATACTATTTATCATGCTTATTGTCAGCATTCATCTGACATCAAACTGACAGTTAAACGATCATATTTAGTTGATAAGATAAGCTTATAATCCCTACCTGTGGAGATTTGGACTGGTTCCCATTAACTGACGACGAACACTAACCAGTTTCTGACTAAGGTCACTTTGTGTGTGAAGTTTTGTTCTAATCTCACTGGACAGCTGAAATATTTTAATTTGATTATATATTAATAATACTGTATTACAGTACTGTATTGGACATGTTAATAGAGATGAACAAGATAATATTTCATAAAAGAAAGTATTAACTTTAACGATTATTGTAAACTTAAAATTTAAGAAGTGCACATTTTACTAATTGATAGAAAAATATGTGATAGTCAAAATAGAAGATTAATCTCAATTGAATGTATACCGTACATATTGAATACAAGTATAGCACACCTTAATTTGGTGTGACAGAAATTTGGTATTTAATATGTGAAACAAAATTTTCCAGAATTCTTGTAATGTCATGAACTGTTATATATTTTATCAAAATGAAAATATATGCAAGAATGAATTTTTCAACAACAGAGTCTTTTGTAATTTTGCAAAATTTAATGTTCTTTTGTGATTTACAGAAATTAAAAACCCTGATATCAAATATTATAATTGTAGTACATCCATTAAAGATAGAAGGGCATTTTTTATTCCATCAAAAGTATAAACGATGTGGAAATGTTATTTACTCTGGTACCTGATCCCCCCATTAATGAGTCAATCACAAAGTTATATTTGGCTTTCAATCTCGGAATCATAATCTGGTTACATTTACCTTCTGGAAGACAGAAAAAAGAGTTTTGACACCATCCCTGACAGGGAGAAAGGGATCCAACAGGAACTCACTGAGATTGGGGTGTGGCAGGAGAGCCAATCTTGAGATAACAGAGGTCAACTGAAGGTTAACTGGATAACTCTGAAATGTGTATCAGATAAATTGATTTAAAATAATATCTAACACTAGGTCAGCTACAAATCATACAATACAAAATGTTTTAAACTGAGAAGTGAAAAATAAAGATTTTAAAATTTTTAATCATGTTTTTACCATGTACTTTATAAGCTTTTAAAAATCTTAAACAAAAGATGAAAAAGAATTCTTAAACATAATAATGAGTAGAAAGCTTAAACCTCTACAATATATGACAACATAGTTTTGGAAACAAACACATTTGACGTTAAGAAAGGTTTACACTTTTTCACCTGATCCATTAAGTGAGACATTTTATCTAGTAACATTCTGAGAAAAGCCCCTTCATAAAATTCCTCCATAACAAATCTCCTGATGACAACTGGTTCTTTAGGCCAAGACCAGGGATCGGTCATCTCACACACATGATGAAACTGGAAAAAAATTTCAACACTTTGACAATCACGTCAGAAATTTGCAATCCTCTTTACAAGTGGGGTAAGTTATCAGTCTCTTATCAAGTTACGACCTTGATTTATCCTACTTGTGCTTCCAAGCTTTTTTTATATCAAACAAGACCATAGTAATACATGTAATAACTAGAACTGTCCAAAAGGGACAAAATACCCCCCGCTGGGTTTTTCAGAAGTAAGTTTTTCCATAATAAAGATATGTATCAAACATGAATTATGAAATTTTTCTTCCAGTGACCTTGAACTTCCCCAAATGACCTTGGGTCGAAATCATGACACACCCTTGGGTCATGGGCAATCTCTGTGTGAAATGAGAACCTACCAAGTTTATCCATAAGAAAGATATGGACCGGACACAAATTATGAAATTTTTCTTCCAGTGACCTTGAAGTTCCCCAAATGACCTTGGGTCAAGGTCATGACACACTCTTGGGTCATGGGCAATCTATGTGTGAAATGAAAACCTCCCAAATTTATCCATAAGAAAGATATGGACCGGACAAAAATTATGATCTTTTTCTTCCAGTGACCTTGAACTTCCCCAAATGACCTTGGGTCATGGTCATGACACACCCTTAGGTCATGGGCAATCTTTGTGTGGAGTAGTAGATTCTACTGTCCCTCTGTAAGAAAGATATGAACCGGACACGTTTGCACAGACAGACGGACAGCTAGACAGATGGACAGACGGAGAGACGGACTAGGTGATTCCTATATACCTCCCCAAACTTCGTTTGCAGAGGGGGTATAATAATATCATTATTAATTTTGAAAAGATTTTTGGAATAATGTTCTTAAAAAATCTGAGCATTTTCCATTGAAATAAAAAACATTTAAAATGGTTATACATATGTATCTTGACTATCTTTTTACCAAGTTTCATAAAATCTTGTGAAAATTGTGGATACATAAGAATTTTGAAAAAAAGTTTAAAATCAGACAAACGAAGTGGCACAAAAAAAAAACAGATGGACAAACACAAATACAGGAATACTAGATGTTGAGCAATTTATGCATAACCTATTGTAAGTGAAATCTAATCAGTAGAGCTGAAAACTAAATCATATTATTTCATGAATTAAAATTTAACAGCACTATTCTTCTTTTAATTGTTGAAAATTAGGTGTATTGTTTTACTACATGTTTCAACACTTCAGAAATAAATTTATATCAAAAAGTCACCCTGCCTATTTCCAGTTATAAGTTTTTATAACATGTATGGTAAATCATGTACCTGTTTGTGGGCATCTCTTAAATACATATCATATCCACTGTCCGCTGTCTGATAACTGGATTTTAACTGCTCTGGCAGCAAGGACAGGAAACTAAAAAAATCAGATTTACTATCTTTTTTGTTGTTTTTAAAATAAGTTGTTCATAACAGAAGACAGAACTTGATTATCTCCCTACCAGTTGACAATCTTGTGAACTTCTGTGCGATTTGTTGAACGGTTAAGGTTTGGCTTAGCTGAAGCTTCTGTGGATGTGTTCTCTATCAAAATTTATATTGTGTTAATACATGTAATCCTCTATGTAAATAACTTCAATCAAACAGAAGAGATGCAGTACACTTATCCTAGGCTTGCATTGGTTATGCATATGTACATGTTTTTTTTTTTTTTGTTTGTTTCAAAATCAGAACAACAAATCTATCAAAATGATAACTGTGGCAATGATAGAGTTCACATAAGAATTCAACGTTCCTAACAAATTTAAACCTCTGTCTTCCTACTCCCACCATCCCAACAATTAAAGTGGCATAAAAATGAATGACTTTATTATTAAAAAGTACAGGTAAATTTATTTTACTTCTTGAACATAAATTAACAATTATACAGATCTTGAATATGATTGCATAATACCCATTCAGACAGCAGTAATTATATTGTTATTCAGATGTTCTCAAATGAAGTGGGGAAACTAAGAAACTATAAAGAGAAGGGACATAACTCCTGATTACCTTCACTATTCCCAGAGATTCCGTTTGTAGTTGGGGAGTTTTCTCCCTTGTCCTGCTCGTTCTTCCTCTCATTGCTGTCAGTTTTGTAGTAGTTCCTACCTAACAGATTGCGTAGTACTAAGTTATGTATGATGTGTTCATCATCCTTTTGTAGAAGAGTGTCAAACAACTTCAGAGTGATCAAACTCAGCTGAAATACAATGAATATATATAATTATCTTAATTTGACATTGGTATTAATGTACGTATGCAATTCTAGTACTTCATGAGACCTCCAAAAAATCATAAATATAAGTGAATAAATTGGTCTTTAATACCATATAATTATGACTAAAGCTACATGTAGGCAAGAGAAATGATTGTCATATTGGTTTTCCTTACTTCCTCAGATAAATGATTACAGCGCTCAATGAGTCGGTCTCTGATGCCAGGTTGAGTTGTCTCCTCTTTCTGCTCTGGTAACCTCTCTGATCCCAGAATGAAGAAGCAAAACTCTGAAAAGTCATATTAAGGTAGCATTATATTATAAAAGCCCATCCAAATTAAAAATGCACATCTCTGGAAGAAACTGATAACACAATTTGAAATTTAAAATGGAATACACATATACATATATACAGATTCACATTATAAAGCTTCTGAAGATTTGAAATGAAAATCTTAAGCTAATTAAACTAAAGGTTTTCGTGTTTCTTTTTTTTAAAAAAGATTTACCTACAGATTCACATTTACATATATACAGCAGCATGTATGAATTCTTTTGATATAATACATTTTTTTTCATTATTTCAAATATAATTTTTTGTACATGAACAGTATATTTTCTAAAGCACTTCTGTGTACATACCAGAGAGGAGTTCTGGGGAACACACGGTCCGTAGACACCTATTGAGGTATGCTGTAGCTAGTATTGCACCTGATTCAGACCTACAGTTATAATGTATGCACAATGATTGATTGATAATTTACTCTTGTATCTCCTTACATTTACAGCTTCTGATAATTCAAGAAAATGAGTTTATTAATTGGCTGAATATTTATATAAGAAATGCTTGCAGGACATCCTGGTACTTTTACTGCATGTAATTTATAAACTTGTGAATACTGTAGAATCATTTTAGATCACAGAAGCCAATGTTAGTGGGCAACTAATTTTAATTGGAAAGTGTGACCAACAAAATCTTTGAGCATTGGTCCACCAATATAGCTTTTAATGCAGATGTGTTTTAGAGAGGAAGAAATGACAAGTTTACAAATACGATTTTCCATATCTTTAAGGCATTTGCATTAATCTTAGCTTATCAGTAGTAAAGTATAATGTAAGACACAGGAAAAAAATTCTTAGCTGAAACTAAAATCTGTAATTGCCATTCCGAATCAAAATCCAAGGCATATACACGTTTAATTTCCATAACAGTTTTAGTGTATCTATAATTTGTTAAACGTTCCAAGGTCCCTTACGTTTGTAACACTGATGGTTCCATGATAACATTCAGAAACAGTTCTCTGATGGACTTGGCCAGGTTTTTGGCTACCATGGGATTTGAGACAGAAATCAGCTGATCACAATAATCCAGCCAGGAGAGAAAACTCACTAGATGGCGCTTTCCTAGAAATGTCTTATGATCCTCACTCTCTGTGATGATATCTAAGCTGTAATGAAAACATGCAGTGTCTTTTCATTTCTACATTATATTCTTTTTTAAAGAAAAAAGGGATTTTCTTGTCTAAAAAGAGATGCAATGGAATATTAAAGTAATAACTAAGTTTTTTTTAAATTAAGAATTTAAATCATTAACTGACCTTAAATTATTCAGAATATAAACTATAGAAGGAAATTTCATCAAATCTAATATCACATGTATCTACTACTCTTAAACCTTATAAAATGTATTCCTATATTTTGCAATCAAATGTTTTGTAGCCTTAATTTTTCTTTAGTGTAAGAAATAACTAACCCCCATTTGGCCTCTACATTCTCGAGATCCACAGAACTTATGAAAGACGGTAGTTTGAGATATGCCTCTATGAGCCTCTGACTCATCTCAGTACAGAAGGCTGTGTCGTGGACGATACAAGTGGCAGCTGTCTCCTCCGGTAAACTAGCACACAACATCAGGCCCTCACAAGCCTTAACAGCTACCCGACTGTCCTGTCACAAAAATTAAATACTGCATCATATTCAGGTCTTCATTACTTAGATTTCACTTTGCATCATACTCAGGTCTTCATTACTTAGATTTCACTTTGTATCATACTCAGGTCTTCATAACTTAGATTTCACTTTGCATCATATTCAGGTCTTCATTACTTAGATTTCACTTTACATCATATCCAGATCTTCATTACTTAGATTTCACTTTGCATCATATTCAGGTCTTCATTACTTAGATTTCACTTTACATCATATTCAGGTCTTCATTACTTAGATCTCGCTACGTAAAAAAACTTATAGACGAAAATGAAATCTCAGCCTCAATGTAATATACTGATGTTTTGGAGATACATGTATTTATTATGGCATCATACAGATGGATGGTAATGAAAAGAAATGTTGAGTAAATAGGTAATGGAAAGGCCATACAGTGAAGGGGGGGGGGGGGCAATTACATAACACAAATTCTGAAACAGAATCTCAAGGCGAAATGAAGAAAAGGAACTGACCAAAGAAAAAAATGATTTTAATTTAGTACAGTGAATAATAGAAAATTACTGTTAATTCCCTTGCACTGGGATTTCTTGATTAGAAACTAAGCAGCAAAAGCAAAGAACATATATGCATATAGATTATACATGCTTTGTCCTATATACTCATGAACCATGGAAAATTCTACTGTATTAAGAATTCTGCTCACAAATCTATACCAGAAAAAAATTCACTTGCATAATACATTCAAGGGTTAAATTCATACATATCTATAATAAATTTTTAATTTAAACAGGAGCAAGACAAACTATGGGAGATATATCATTTTTGGGTAAATAATTATTGAGGAAGGGGGTTAATATAATGATAATTCTGAAAATATATTGCTAAATTTAAGCAAAATTTTTAAAGCTACATTGGTTCAAAATCATTGAAGTTATATTGTTTTCTGATTTAGATTCTACAATTCAATGCAATAATAGGACTACAAGCTAATGTAAATACCAATACATGTACATCTGCTTAATTTAAGATGAAAAGGGGATCTGTAGAACTTAGAAATAAAATTATGTATCTATTATGTTTGATTAGTTTACCAAGTGTGCATACTAGTACAATGTAATATCAGAATAAAAAATGCATATCTTGAAAGGAAAATTATGATGTTGATGGAAACAAATCTTATAAAAAATTAATTATAAATGAAAATACATGTATAAGTAAATTATGCTCAAGAATATCAAAATTTCCACACCAATAACCTTTACAGAAATACATGCTTAGAAATAATAAATTTAAATTAACATTTAAGATGATTCCTTAAAACATCACAAACAACCCAAATGTGGTTTGTGTTTCTTAATTTGGATTCTAATGGTGTATCAAAGCTTTTAAATGGAATGTTGCAAAACAAGCTGACATTTTGAAGAAATAATTATTTAGTTAGATTTCCCCGTATTTAATTTATCAAAATGATTATTTTTAAAGAAATAAATTTTGAAAAGACAAAGAACATCATATTTCAGATAGAAAATAAAGAAAATAAAAAAAAAATTATTTCAGTGCTGATGTTTTGGCTTTATGGTAAACTTGTAGTTACGGTGCATATTTCTCTGAAAGGGGGGGGGTAATTGGCAGGGGTAGAGTTATCATGATTTCATGAAATATTTATCCTCTTTTAAAGTATATCATGTTATCTAAAAAATAAGTATCAATATAATTTTTGAAATATTATTGCCTTTTAATGGATTTAACCAGGTAAATATAACAAAGTGAAATGAAGTTTATAATTATAATTGATTTGCTATTTCCTTTTCCTATGACATTTCAGTGATAAAACATTTTTTCACCTTTTTGACCCTTTTGATGCAGGTTTGTTAATTAAAACTTGCATAGTTATTCCTGCTTTTTAATTTCACATTTCCTCCCAATATTTGTTAAAGATTTGAATTCATATGCCATGTGCATGTATTTTATGTGAGGAAGTTGAAGAGGCCTTTGTTTTATTGCAGTGCTTACATTGATTACTTAAGGAAAATATCCCCCTCTTCCAATATTTAACTACACAATTTCAAAGGAATTAATTTTTTTCCTCTGAATTTCATGACAAATTTACACAGAAACTTACTGCACTGTGTGAGAGATTTAGGAGAGAATTCATGAGACTAAAACTTCGCCCATCACTACTCTGACCATTGCTGGCTTTGGCAGTAAGCAAAGTATTGGCATCTGAAGAAGTGTTGGCAGTTTTCATTTGACCTTCATTCTCAGGGGTTGGCACATCTTTGGTAAGACTAGGTTTTCTTGCATCAGGTTTGTGTTTTGGCACCTAAAATACAGATAAAATCAGTATGAATTAATTCAGAAAAAAGAACTCAATAACGTACTTAACAGATACATGTAATGTTGTTCACTTTGATATTTATACAGTGAATAAAATTAAATGATTAACATGATTAATAATAAATAAGTTATTTTCTAAAACAAAACACAAAGAGAATTGCTTTTGTTAAAGATTTATGTTTATCGGGACAGGTGTTATTTTCTGAAATAAATAGCTTTGTAAATGTCAAAAAACAAAAAATTTGTCACTTCTGCAAGTCTCTCAATTTCAGAGATTTTTTTTCTTATAATTGGGGTTTTGAAAGAGATATTTTATTTAAAATCTATCCAAAGTAAAAGACAACATTTTCTGTAAGACACACTATTGCATTGTTGAATACAACTTAACACTGCTATAACGCACTTCACGATCAAACATACTTGTGTGACTAATATTGTGCATATGACTAATGAATTTTAAACAGTTTAAAATTCAGCCCAAGCAGAGAGAATTATTATTTAACTTATTAGATCATTTTTTATTCTGAATATTAAATGATACTCTTCCATTAGTCTTTGTTCGAAGATTTTTTTCTAAACTACATATTAACATAAGGACAAGAGGCTTATGGGCCATATCACTCACCTGAGCACCATGGCTAGGAAAAAAAATCAGTTTAGTATTAACTCTGTTTAGTATCAAAAAGCTTAGATGCACAAGTGGTTCCAACCTACCCCTAAGAGAGAGAGCACTGGGAGGGGTGGGTGGGGGTATGATTTGAATAAAACTGAATCTGCACTAACTAAAGATGCTTACATATTTTTTATGCACCCTATATTGTTTTTGTCCTGTCTGTCTGTTTGTCTGCAAACTTTAACCATCATGAAAGATAGAGACTTCATATTTGGTATGCATACTCCACTAATTAAGCTCTTTCAAATGACACAAAGGTCAATGACCTTGTGACCTTGACTGTGACCTAAATGCTACTTTTTTCCTCCAAACTTTAACCTTCACCATAACTTTTGAACCATGAAAATAGAGACTCAGTATTTGGTATGCAGACTCCACTAATTAAGCTCTTTCAAATGACATCAAGGTCAATGACCTTGTGACCTTGACTGTGACCTATATGCTAAAAATAGTTTTTTGGTCTGCAAACTTTAACCTTTGCCATAACTTTTGAACCATGAATGATAGAGACTTCATATTAATCCACCAATT